CTTTTACCTTCCACTTTCCCCAGCATAATTGTCTTCTCTAGGCTTTGCTGTCTCCTCATGCTGTGGCCAAAGTACTTCAACTTTGTCTCTAGTATCCTTCCCTCCAGTGAGCAGTCGGGCTTTATTTCCTGGAGGATGGACTGGTTGGATCTTCTCGCAGTCCAAGGCACTCTCAGCACTTTCCTCCAACACCACAGCTCAAAAGCATCTATCTTCCTTCGCTCAGCCTTCCCTAAGGTCCAGCTCTCACATCCGTAGGTTACTACAGGGAATACCATGGTTTTGACTAGGCGGATCTTTGTTGCCAGTCTGATGTCTCTACTCTTTACTATTTTATCGAGATTGGACATTGCTCTCCTCCCAAGAAGTAAGCGTCTTCTGATTTCCTGGCCACAGTCTGCATCTGCAGTAATCTTTGCACCTAGAAATACAAAGTCTGTCACGGCCTCCACATTTTCTCCCTCTATTTTCCAGTTGTCAATCTAGACCAGTTCAAATTGCATTTGGCATATATCATTAACCACCTTATCACATCAGGGCTTTATAGTGGGAAGCCCTGCATTCCTGCTACCTGCAGAATTCTGGGAAATGTAGTTCAGGGTGGGGCCTTTTGAATTCTCAGCTACAGAGGTCCTCACCTTCCCAAACTACATTTCCCAGAATACTGCAGGAGGCAGAAATGCAGGCTGCCTGCTTTAAAGCCCTGGTGTGATAACTTAGTTATTAATCTGACTCCAATCTGAATAGAGGCCTTGTAGATCTATAATGAATACACATATGCATCAATAAACACATACTGACTACTAGAATTGACTTTTTTTCCTTAATTTTCTGGATCTCCAAGAGTTCTGTAGTGCTCATACATACCTTCCAACTTCCCTGATTTGCCAAGGACAATTCTGATGATGTCACCCCAACTTTTCAATTACTTTTAAAATTGTTCTCTCCTCATTCTATTTCTCTCTTTTGACCTTGTCAGGCACTTGATCCACTTCATAGAGGGGCATAGGGAACCCGGTACCCCATAGCCCAAATTGCCTGGCTCCAGCCAAAGGTGATCAGATGGGGAACACATGGTGCACGTGGCTTCCCCTCATGGATTCTACAGCAACACGGGAGCCCTCCCATTTTGCCCTGGTGGTGGCATGCACTGGCTCTGCCCTCCTTCACACACAGAGCTGTGTCGGCATCATATGATGGGAGCCGGCCAGGTCTATGGGCAACCTGGGCTAAAACTGGTGCATGCTGCCAATTTTAGCCCTTTGTGATGAGGTTGTAGGTCCTCAACTTATTTGAGGTGCTCAAAACTGAGTCCAAAATGCAAAATAGTTTGCTCTCAATTAATTAAGCAGAGGAAGAGGAGAGGAAAGGGTAGGATGTTGCCATTCCCAGTAAACGCAGATGAAAGTAAATTTCTGTCACCTCTCTTAACTGACCATCGTGACTACACACTGATGTTGCTGAGCCACACATGTACCAATCTGTTAGAAACTAGAATCCATGCAGCGTTTAAGAATTCAGAGTTATAACATTAGCATGTCAGGACCATCCTTAGTAAGTAAATAATTCAGTGTCATCAAAATGTTGATGGACTGTAGAATGAATTCTGCAATTTATCTTTATTGCTCAGGGAGTGTGACCAGTTTCCTTAGAAGGCTGCAGGGAAATGAATGTATGTACTAAAGCTGGAACACTTGTAAGGCTGACTGATTAAATCTTTGTCCAGTGCTGCCTTTCAGCCTTATCAATAATAATCTTCAGATGTTGGAAAGAATTAAATGGCTTGATTTGCATCCAGTTAATATTTCTCTACTTTTGCTGGACTGGCTTGGGTCTCTCTTGATAGCAGTCCTATTGACTTCCTGGTTGCTTCAGTTCATGATGAACAAGGTTGTTAGTAATTCCTCCTTTCAACGACAAATCCAAACATTGCTTAAATCAGGTTACCATGGGAGTCTGACCTTGATGCATTTTGTGTAGGCAAGTGGAAGGCTTGTGAAAGAGAGAAAGGGTTCAGAGAAACAATAAATTTAATACTTTGTTAAATCAGCAAAACAGCTCTGTGTAGGAATCCTTTCAACCATCAGTTTCACCGTACTCTTTAATTCTTAAATGGTAGTTCTCCCATCCCCCAATTATTGAATTAATGATGGAGGGGGGTCATATTGGACTAGGCACTTGTAATTAAGTTTCAGACTTAACTAAAAAAACTCGTAATAATGTTGATGAATAGCAAAGCTGGCATTATTATTGACTCGCTAAAGGGCTACCAAGAAATGTCTGACAAGCAGCAGCATCAAGAAATGAAGACACCCATCCTTGTTCTACATTTGCATCCATGTCCTCCTCTTTCACCCATTTTCCCACCCACAATTGAGATTAATCTTTCAAGGAACTCATCACATTAGTTGTTGGATTTGCCAAGGATTGTTGCAAATCCAAACGGGCCCAGCGGAGTGCATGGGAACCCGTCGTCCTTTGCTCTGCATCACCCAGCTTTCCCCTTACCCTCATCCCATGGAGGAAACATGTGCCACTAAGCTTCCCCCCATGAAACACGGGAAGCCTCTTGTGTTGCCTCTGCCACTGCATACAACATTCCCTCTTCACTTTTACCACAGAGTCCTGCTGGAAGTAGTTTGATATCATGGGATGGGAGCCGGCAGGCTCTGTGGCAAGTGAAGTATGCCATCGTATGCCATTGAATTTTGCACACCTGATGAGGTCACAAAAAGAGAAAGGGACAGGATTCACCCTACTTTTGTAAGTCTTGCCTTAGTGCATCTTCTAGCAAATTGAGCATGGCCTCTTGCCCTTGAAATGAAGACAAACTATTGAGTTGGGATTGACTAAGGGAAGAGAGAACAGTCTGGGACCAAGTGCCACACCAACTTATTTCCATCTAGTCTGAAGCTTCCTCATGCTGCTACACTAACCTGTTTAAATGTACAAAAGGTATTGTTATGGTTAACTTCCATCAGGTCAACATCAAGTTATGGTAACCCTATGAATGAGAGCCCTCCAACTCGCCTTGCTATTCACAACCCTTCTCAGGTCTTGCAAACTCAGAGATATGGCTTCCTTGATTGAGTCTGGAATCTGGTCATTCTCCTTTCCAACTGTCTTCTATCTTAGCAAGACCTTTGTCCTTTCTCATGAGTCATGTCTTCTCATGGTGTGTCCAAAGTATGACAGATTCAATTTAGTCATATTTGGATTCTAGGAGGATTTCATGCCTGAATGATTTGTCTCAGTGAAGTATTGTATCACTCTTTATCCCTTTGTGGTCATTGGATAGATTTCTGGAGCCTGAAGCAGTACTTGGGGAGGGGGGGGGGGGGGGGGGGGGGGGGGAGAGAGATTTGAAACAAAATGGATCTTGCTAAAAATTATGTGGGGATGTGGCAGACATGGGTCAGTGATGGGTTTAGGTGTGTGTAGAACACTTGAGGCTCTCAAGGATCATCCCAAGAGCTACATGCAGTCAATAGGATGCATGAACCCCTCTGCTATACACATGGGCTTCTTGCTATTAGTAATCTATCTAGGGTAATGAGCAGGAAGCATAGGAATGTGTGGAACTAATTTACACTCACTTTGATTATTATCCCTTTAAAGTAATATTTTATGCTGAATAACAGCAGCTCACATAACATGAAATGTCAAACTGTTCAGTGCATTTCCCGTGTTCTTCACAATAATGTGTGTTAGAGTTATAGGGCCCTTCCAAACAGGCCCTATATCCCAGGACCCAATCCCAGATTTTCTGTTTATCCCAGATAATCTGGCAGTATATACTCATGTAATCCAGTTTAAAGCAGAAAACTTGGGATCAGATCCTTGGATATAGTTTCCTGTCTTGAAGGGCCCGTAGTGATCTTCTGACACGTTCTAAAATATTACTTTCTAGATTACCAAGAATTCTAGCATTAGTGACATTTTAAATAAGAAGCAAATCATTTCCAAAAAAACAAACTATCTAAGAAACTGTCTCCTGAAAATCAAGCAATCACACAGAAATAAATATATGGACAACTGATCTTCAGGGACTGTTGTCAGGTAAACAGGGACAATCTGTAGAGCAGTATTTGCATTATTGTTTGGTCAAATCTGTTGTACATAGGCCTGTGTCTTAACAATCCGATTAAGACATGGTTTGGAAAAAAGAATCCTAACCATGTCACATAAACCCTGCACAATCCAGTGGTGTCAGAAGGCATGGCTAAAGTCATTGGGTGCTGGGGTTTCACTGTGCATGATGTTCTGTGTTGAAAGAGAGCCTGTGTGTATCAAAACAAGTTTCAAGACCTAGACAACAACTGCAGGAACTTCTACAGCTGCCATCTGAATCTTGGTTTTGGGATGCTTATGCCTTCTTCTATTGGGCTCATTCTTCGGTTATGACAGTGAAATCACTCTGTCTCACTAGCCTTTTCAATGGCAAACACATTGTGGGATGTCATTGGAATAGTGTTCCAGATCACTGGGTCTAGTCCTTCTCCTCCTGTCTTCGGGATAAGGGGGAAGGATCCCAGGGTGAGAAGATTGTTGTTGTTAACTGTCATAAAATCAACTTTGGCTTATAGTTACCTCATGAACGAGGAACATTTAAGTCACCTTATATACAGCCCTGCTCAGTGCTCAGGTATCATCCGAAATTGGATTGAAGTCCAGAACTGATTAATCACCCCTCTTACACTGGAGTCACCAACTACCACTGGTGACACCAACTACCACTGGTGACATTCAGTCGGACTGAAATTTGTCACGAGTATTTAACTCTTAAATGGAGCAACACAAGAAATGTTTAACAGTGCAGAGTCTCCCTGAAATCTTCACCATTCACCTTCATTTTTTTCTTTTGATCAGGAAAAGAGCTGGACTACATTTTGTAAACTCTTGCTTTACAACACGTTTTAACAAATTTGAACTCGAAGATAATATTCTATGTTATTTTATTAATTAAATCAACTCTGATATTTGTTGTGATTTTCTTACAGGTTGTGTATAAGAACAATGATGTAAGGCTAGAACTGTCCCGACTTGCCAAACAAGGCGATCCGAAGATGAAGATCCATGGTGTGGTTGCATTTAAGTGTGAAAATGTAGCAACTTTGGATCCAATCACTTTTGAAACACCAGAATCTTTCATCTCTTTGCCAAAGTGGAATGCCAAGAAAACTGGCTCAATATCATTTGACTTCCGCACTACTGAACCAAACGGCCTGATACTTTTCAGCCACGGTAAACCACGTCATCAGAAAGATGCCAAACACCCACAAATGGTGAAAGTGGATTTCTTTGCTATTGAGATGCTTGATGGTCACCTCTACCTGTTGCTAGACATGGGATCTGGTACAATTAAAATAAAAGCTTTACAGAAGAAAGTGAATGATGGAGAATGGTACCACGTTGACTTTCAAAGGGATGGACGATCGGGTAAGTTCTGACACAAGAGACAAGAAAATTGAGAATCTTGAAGGCTTTTAAGATGTATGATCGCATTGGTCACACCACCTATACACTATAAAAAAATTGTTCATAGTTGTGGCCAGTTCACTACCTATACAGTATCTCTGGTGATGAACCATTTATTTAGCTAGGTTGATCTTCATACAGTAGCTGTGTGAGATGAGATCCAAAAGTACTATTGGCAACATATGTCAGCTGGACTTCTCCTATGGATGTGTGTGTGTGTGTGAGGGGGGGGGGGGCTTCCAAGCACCATCTGACCACAGACATACACAAGGAAAAAGAAACAGCTTTTGCTTTTCTTAACTATCAGTAAATACACAACTGAGTGTAGTGTTTTGCATGGGAGAGGCATCATTACACAAAGAGGTAACCAATACTATCTTCTGCAGTGATACAAAATACATAGGAGATTATGCCAGCATATGCCAGTATATTTAATTAATAGGGTTGTAGTTGCAGTCTATCATTGGGGTCATACTTGAATCCTTGCCAACGTTACCCTTTTGTGGCATATTTTTGAGGTACTAAACAGTGATCCTTAGTTACCACTATAACTGGAAAAATTGCCCAAGTTTCTGTTGAATCATAGAAATATCTATATATTTCCCTTCAAGAAATATCCTTCTTGAAGGGAAACCAATTCACAAGTACCTTTAGTCGAAGCAGAATGGTTTTGAATGCCCTGCAAAACTGGTATAAATATTTCATGCCCATTTAAATTTTTATCCAATTTTATTACAGTGAAATTAGGTGTTTACTTTGAAATATGCAAAAACGTGTCCCCATATTTTTTTTGCTAATATTGGAATTCTTTTAAACTTACTGAATCCCCACAGACATTTGATGCAAGTGAAACCCTTCAAATGCACTGTGGGTGTTACTGTTTGTCAGAAATTTTATGCAATACAGGTTTAAAGGTAATCTAAACATTTTTACTTTAACATAGAAGAATAACCAGTAACAAAAGCACTGGAACTGAAAATTTCAAAGTAGTGGCTTATTTGTCCATTTGTCCTGCGATATGCATCTACCATGAATTTAAACTTCATATCACACAGTCAGTTCTGTATATAAAGTACTCAAACCAGTACATTATTGTGAACTATATGTGGAAAGTACACATATAGTTCACATGAGATGATGTAACTCAATGGACAAAATGAAAATGTATGCTATAGTACAATGCAGTAGGGAAATAGATAGTTGACGCTACAGGTGGATTGGTTCAATTACTGAAGCCACAGCTTTCAATTTGAAAGATTTGAGCAACTCAGTTGAGGATCCAGAATCTTGGATGTCTCTCATTCATAAGGTGGCCGTTGGTCAAAGTCAACTTGACATCAAATAGCTACAAAAACAATGCTGGTTTTTGAAAGTAACCAGAACAAGAAAGATTGATATGATCTTTTTTGGAAAGCTGTGGTCTGTGTAGGGTAGAGTTGGAACCTCAGTAAATACTTCCCATCCGAAGCGTGGATGTGGGAAACATACCTGGTGCAAAACACTGAAAGCTGTATATTACCAAATAAAGCAGCGGCGGGTTCGAGTTGACCTCACAACCTCTGAGGATGCTTGCCATAGATGCAGGCGAAACGTCAGGAGAAATGCCTCTAGAACATGGCTCTATAGCCCGAAAAAACCCACAAGAACCTAATACTTCCCATTCTTCAGAGATGTTTGGCTGTTATTGAAGTTCCTCTCTTTTTCCTGGAGAAAAACCTTTGGATTTCCTTTGCATTTCACCACAAGCAAAACCCACTGACAGCTTGAGCCAACTCAATGACAGCAAAATCCAGTACCAGCTTCAGGGAGCAAAAGTTCCTCGATGAAATGTCAGTTGTCTTACATTAAGCCTACTTGAATTTCCTTGAAAACTCATCAGCTGTTTTGCATGAGGAGGAACCCAAAATGTAGATTTCCATTTTGCTTTGAGTGATATATCAGTCGGAAAAGTACCCTGAACTCCGAGTTTGCTTAGCATTCTGCTCCTCTTTCGATTCAAAACAAACAAAAGAACTATGCTCCTGCCTTTGTTTTACTACCACCACCTTTTTACAGTTTTTAAAACATGTGCAATCCTATTCACATCCCACACACTCATAAAGATTGAAAGATGGCATTTTAGTGAGTGCATTATTTTCTCTGAAAGAGCAGAACTCATCTACAGGGAAGAAACCTGTGGACCTTTTCATGTATTTCCAAAAGCTCCCAATGACGCAGTAGGTTAAATCTTTGTGCCAGCAGGACTGCTGCCTGACAGGTCAGTGGTGCAAATCTGGGGAGAGTGGGTTGAGCTCCCTCTGTCAGCTCCAGCTCCCCATGCAGGGACATGAGAGAAGCTTCCCTTGAGGATGGAAAACATCAAACATCTGGACATCCCTTGGGCAACATCCAATGCAGTTTCTGAAGTCACTCCTGACATGAAAAAAAATCTATTTCCAAAGCACTTTCCTAAGATAAAGAAAGGCACAATACTCAGCATTGCACCAGGGATGGCTCCCTTTAAAGTAATAGTCCCAAAAGATGCTTACAAAGAAACCTTCACTATTAATTATGTACATGCACACACTTTCTTCTAAAAGACATTTATTCCCCATTTCAGCAAAGTGAGAATAAACTACACTGAGAAAAGCCATCCTCTTCAGTTCAGCCTTATTCTAGACAATCTAGAAAAATTACTCATAAAACATGCAAAACACAGATTTATCTTATGCACATTATTCAAAGGTCTATTATACTGATTTCAACATTATTTTCTTCTCATCAAGAACACTTGTGAGTTTAGCTTTTTGATTTTTCACAGATTTGAAGTTCCCATTACAGTTCCAAATTGTGGAAAATAACTATCATAGATGGGTTCGGAAGAAACTCTTGAATCTATCCAGACCCAGTGCCACCTAGTGGCTCAGCTACACAATGATGTTATCAACAGGGTAGCAATATATGAATGTTGTTACTCCTACTTCTTCGAACATTCAATGAAAAAAAAAACCTAAGCTAAGCAGCATGAAGGAATGCTATACACACAAAAAATAGGCATTGTGAAATCCTGTCAAATCTAAAGGGGTGGTTTGCTTGTTAAATTATTGTGGATTTTTAAAAAGTTGACTAAATTATAAGGAGACTAACCAATTTATTGTGGCATAAGCTTTCAAAAGCTTTAGGTTTTTAGAAACTGGAAACACTAAGACACACGCCTTAGTGTCTGGTTAAGGTGACTGGTTTTGCTCTTTCATTCCCAACCAAATCCACAGCAAAGTGATCCAACACCATCACTTGCATATTAAACTATGTCCAGTTATTTTATTTTTTTTACTTTTCAACTAAACCTAACATTAATTTTACATGCATTATTAATTTTAACTCATCTCAATAACTGTGGATAAAAAATTGCAATTGTTTTTGGCTTACTCAGACAAACAAAAAAATGGCTGACAACTTCTAAACCATCATCTACAGTACCATTATCATATAGATTGAACTGGATTATATGATCGACTCATATAATCCAATTCAATGCAATTCAATCTGCATTATATAGGTTGACACTGGGCCCTTCCAGGTAGGGCTAAATGTCAGAAGGAACTGGGATATTTAATGCCAGTTCCTCCTGGAATTTAGTTCCCACACCTCCTCCAAACCCCACACTTTCTTTTACAGGAGAAGGCGATTATATGCCCTTCTGGATCCATCAGAGGTTGACCTGGGAAGGCATGTAGCCAGCTCCCCAACTCCCTGGCCCCTTGTTTTGCCAAAAAACATACCAGAGGGCCTGACTGCATGCACATTCCCCTCGAAGATCGCTTCTGATGTGTCCAAATGATGTGTTGGTAGGTTGGTTTGGGGGGGGGGGGGGATGAAGAATTATCCTCCTCTGAGAGCCCAAAGAATCGGGATGACAAGGGAGATTGATCTCTGGGATCACGGAACAAGATTCTGCAACTCAATCTTCACAGGCTCATGTGTTCCAGATGTTGTATTAATCCAACATAAACTGGGAAATCCCAGTTTACTCCAGATTAATCCAGATTTACCTGCATGTTGTTTGGACACGTATTTTTTTACTCCCTTGCTGAGCAACTTGTGTTATGTTGGATGTTGGTCCATGAAGCCATTCAGTGCCCAGAGGAGGATGGATAAGTCTGAAGCCTCTGGAGAATGTATAGGAAGTTCAGGAAGATACTTATTTCTTCCTGTACCTCACTTCAGGAACAGGGTGGACTTTCTTCTAGAATTCCCAGGGGTTTAAGGGGATGTCACCCTTCCAGCATCTGGCTTTAGACCCAAAATCCATTGGCTCTTCCTTGTTCTCCCTTCATCTTTTAATGGCCACAAAATAGAATTACCATGCAGAAAGGGCTGTTTTCTTCACAAGCCAATCCCGTGTGAATTTTGCACAGATTGAGTGCCAAATTGAAAATTATCTTGAAGGACTGTAGATCTTGTCTTTTTATTATTAATAATAGTTTTAATCATAAAAGCAAACAAAAACATATAGTCACATGACAAACACTACACCTGAGTACCTAGTAAAAATAAAGCACATTAATCAACACACTTGCACAGAACACAAAACTCTATCAGATGGTTTTATTTTCTCTGTTTTCCACATGCGTTAAAATAAGAAAAACCATTAATACAGCCTTTCTCCATAAGATAGCACTTTACCAATTCAAAGCAATAGTAATGGAAGTTTGACTCCATCTTTTCTGAAGAAACGTAATTGAAATTGATTATAGATTTCTTGTGAACTTGTCCATTTCTGCTAGTTCACACATCTTCATAAGCCAATCTTCTTGCACTGGGGTAGTTGATTCTTTCCATCTCTGAGCACTTTTCTGTAGACTTTCTTGCAGCTGGAATGTTTGCATTTGTTTTTTGTTTGTTTTTCTTTTTTATTTTTGGAGGTGTTTTTTTTGTTTGGTTTGCTTGATTTCGCTGTTGGTGGTGATGGTTTGTTTTGC